ATGTCTCTTCCCCAGAGGTTAACGGGGAGAGGAAGCACATAAGGTATAAAGCTTCCTGTCTGACCCTCTGGCGTCTTCCAAGTCAAGGAGCGTGAACTGACTGTAGGGTTGGCCTCATATCCCAACCCTTGTAAGGAGTGGGATGATTGTGTAACAGGCCACACCTTAGGCCACCAGTTGGAGGAAATAATACTTTTATCAGCTCCTGTATCTAAAATTCCTGTAAAACTCTTCTCTTCTATTGTTAATTGTAAAGTGGGTCTAGTTTTGAGATCCACTATTAAATAAGCAAAGTCAGTTCCTGAAGAACCGAACCTATTGGCACCTCTTGGCGCCCCGGTGGATGGAAAACAATTATGTAGACTTGGAAGAATAACCAACTGAGCAATCCTATCTCCAGGGGAGATGGAAAATATGCCTTGTGGACAAGAACAGAGAACTTGAAGTTCTCCCGTATAATCTTGGTCTATCACCCCAGGATGAACCACAAGCCCCTTCAAGGTAAGAGAGGAGCAGCCTAGAATAAGGCCAACGCTTCCCTCAGGCAGGGGACCTTTAAAATCAACTGGGATAGGTTGCACACCCTCATATGGCATTAATAAGAATTGGGAGATAGAGCGGAGGTCCAACCCTGCGGAACCTCTTGTAGCTCTGCAGTTAGAGGTCTCCCCCGGTTGTAGGCTTGTGTCCCATATTTTTTGGGGCCCTGAGACCTTGGGCCCGAATATTCGTTTTTTTGAAATGTCTTCATCTCTTTCTGTAGGGGAGGGATCATGTTGAATAATCCTTCCCCGAATGTCCTTAACCGAGCGACATTCATTGGCCCAATGATATCCCTTCCTGCACTTAGTACATAACCCAGGGGTTTTCTTTTGTATAGGAGTACGACATTCTCGTTTCAAATGACCTGGTCTGCCACAATTATAACATACTTTACGGCCGCCAGGACTTGAGCGGCTCTGGCCTTGCAGGATAGCTGCTGCCAGGCCAGCGTTAGTCAGTGGGCCTCCAAGACCTCGGCAGACCTTTATCCAATCTGTCAGCCCTTTGTCTCTCCTAGGGGCAATAACTGCCTTACATTCTGGTGAGGCATTTTCATATACTAATTGTTCGATCAATGGCTTGACTTGCTCTGGGTCTCCAAAAATCTTGCCTGCTACTTCTGTCATTCTAGCAACAAATTCTGAAAAGGACTCCTGGGGGGCTTGTAATATTTTTGTTAAATTTCCTCCAGCCTCGCCCTTTTTCGAGAGGGCCTTCCATGCCTTAATTGTGGCGGTGGAAATCTGGCCATATGCTTCCCAATCATAGTTAATCTGGTCGGCAACATACTGTCCTTGCCCTGTTAATAATTCAAAAGTCCACTGTCTCTGGTTGCCCTCCGCATTAGCGTTGGCCTTTGCCTGTGCTTGAGAAGCGTCGTGCCACAAAGCCTTCCATTCCATATACTGTCCCATATTAGGGAGAGCAGCTTTTACTGTGTTCTGCCAATCATTCGGAGTCATTGCCATAGTGGCAAATCTCTCAAGCTGCATAATTGTAAAATTAGCATCAACTCCATACTTGTTAACCGATTCAGCGAATTCTTTAATAGAAGCATACTCTACAGGTGCGTGGACACGACCTCTTCCTGCGTCCTCAAACACTGGAAAAGCTTGTAACATTTTTCTCTTGTCTTCCTCTGAAAGGAAGGATCCTGAGCAGCGCCTGTCCACATAAGGCGGAAGTGCGCCGAGAACATTAGGTTGGGAGGGCGCTACAGGCCGAGAGGCCGTCCGGCTTCTATCTCTCGTTTTCCTCTGCTTTAGATTTCGCGGCGGCAACTGTTTATCTGGCTGGCATCTTTCCTCTTCATCTATCTCTTCATCTGAGTCCTCTGAGGAAGTTATCCCCTCCAACTCAGAGGCATCAAGCCTCAAAACTTCCTTTACCGGATAAAGAAATCTCTTTCTGAGGCTTACTTTCCTCCCGTCTCTCCCAAGGGTGTTCTTCCCCTCATCTTTCATCCCCGTGAATTGTTCCTCGGGGAGGCTTAATTTCTTTAATATATCCTTTTTCCCTTTTCCTTTCTGAATTTCTAAGCGCTTCCTTCTTTTCTCTGTTTCTGACATGCTAACCCGTAATCCGTCTGCCACTCCCCGAACCGCCACGAAAACCAAAAGGAAGAGAACTAACGCTACCAGCACCATAGCGAGAGCCTCTAAAGTTCCTGCCAACTGGGGAGGGAAATAAATTAAATCAAGTCCAAACATATCTCTCAGAGAGCATTACCTTGTTCTACGGTTCTGGATTCACTCCATGCGTAGAGGACGAGTGGAGGGCCTTCTTAAACAGCGCCGGCGATGGTAAATTCTCCCGGGTTTCTCGGCACCAACTGTGAGGCGCGCGTGTAATCGTCTCGCCAGCAAGAACGCACCACACACACACACCAGAATCCTTCCGTAAAAACACGTTTATTCCCAAATACAAAATGGTGGAAGAAGACGACAGGCCCAGGAAAAGCACTGCTTAATATACCCTTGGAGCGGTGCATTCACCTCTGATTGGCTGCTTACTCGTAGCGTGCCAAACGCAGTGGGATGGGCTTTAACTTTGGCAGGCCTTTTCCATGGCACATGCGCAATTCACCTATTCACCAGGAAAAATCCCGGATGTCAGGCAAACGCGGCTTTATCCAGCGCATGCGCGGCTTCCTACAGTAGGTTGCAAAAAAGTTATGTCTCTACAAGGTTATCTATTCAGAGCCTGCAAACAACTTCTGGAATATGATTGGGTCTACATGATCCTAGAACTATTTAGGGACAAAGAACACTCAGCTTGTGTGAGCCAGGTTCTGCTGTCTGGGTAGAGTGTGCCAGGCAGCACAGAGCCTTTGCCCTCTCCCACCCTAGCTCATCCCTACCCTTGTTCTCATAGAAGCATGCAGCTGGGACCAAGGAGGTGATCTTTCTGTGATCTCTAACATTCAGGTGAGAAATGCCCTTTCACACCAGTCCGTTGTGGTCACACCAGGCCCCTGTGTTCACACCAGTTACCTTTTGGGGAAAATATATTTATTTTAATGAAGATGCTTCTATCTAAAATTTCTAGATCCTCCCTTCCTAATTGAGAGACTATTTAGGCTGCAGGTTAAAACTGGAAGTTTTGCTAAACATTCAGTGGTAAGGTTTGGACTCATTTAAAGTGAACATTGTTGTGTCCCATCTTTATGGGGTTGTGAAGTCAATCTCTCTTTCTCATTTGCTTTGATTGCCAAGCATCTCAAAGAGAATCCCAGTTAAAAACATCACTTGTTTAGATCATGCACACCTTTAATCGCAGAGGCAGAGGCAGAGGGGCAGAGGCAGAGGGGCAGGGGCAGAGGCAGAGGGGCAGGGAGCAGAGGCAGAGGCAGAGGAGCAGAGGGGCAGAGGCAGAGGGGAAGAGGCAGAGGGGCAGAGGCAGAGGGGCAGAGGCAGAGACAGGAGAATCTCTGTGAGTTCTAGGCCAGCCTGGTCTGCATAGCTACATAGTGAGACCCTGTCTTAAAAAATATTTTTTTCTCATTATTTTCCACTTTGAAATACAGATAATTCAGCTTGTAGGTTTTAAATTTTAAAAACTTTATTTTGTTTTTATATATGAGTGTTTTGCCTGTATGTATGTGCAGCACATGTGTGCCTGGTCCTCACAGAGGCCAGAAGAGGGGTCAGTCCCTTGGAACTGGAGTAATGGATGGTTGTCAGCCACCATGTGGGTGCTGGGTACTGAACCCGGATAGACGCTCTGTAAGAGTGAGAAATGCTTTTAACCAATGAGCCATCTCTCCACCCCTAACCCTGCTGTTCGTCAACAAGCTCTTCCACTATGTGATTTCAACTGCAACTTTTATTGATCATAAAATTAGTGCCAAGTAAGTAAATAAATAAATAAATAAAAGATAAAATTAGTGCCACCTTCCTTTAAGAAGAATTGGAAAATATAAAGAGAATAAAGAAACCCTGGGAGATGGCTCAGTTTGTAAAGTACTTTGGATCCATAGCACCCATGTTAAAAAAAAAAAAATAGGGTGCTGTGTGTATCTACAATCCCATTGCGATTGGGGCAGAGTGGAAGCTTCCTGGAGCTCACTGGGCAGTCGGTCTAGGGAAATCACGGAGCTGGGAAGCTGGTCCATGTTCGAGGACAGATCCATTCCTCTCACCCCACCCCATTTCAAAAAAATAAGGTGGAGAATGATCAAGGAAAACACTGACCTCTGGCTTAAACACAAAACATACACACACACTACAACCATGTGATTTTTTTTTTCTTCTCAGATTCAGTTTCTCTGCTCAGGAACAGCAATTCTCTTGGCTCTATTTACTTCCTCATACTTTCAGAAATTCACTTTCTTGTTTCTCTTTCTCTTTTGTCACCGTCACGTGACTTGTCCTTTGGGGTAGTGGCTGGCACTTAAGTATAGCATTGCAACTTCTCTGGACATGACCAGCTAGCAGTTTGAGATTATCTGCTAGCCGCCTGGTTCTTCCCACATTCTCATCCTTGCTGGTTCTTTCCATGACTGGGAACCCCCGCAACCCCCATCCCTACCTCCCTCGCACCAGCAACAGTTTAAGAATTCTGCAAGCAGCTGCCTAGGAGAAACAATAGGAACCTCTCAGCATCTCTGATAGGGCCAACTCTGACAGGGCCACTAGTCTGAGCGTGCCAACCCTGCTATGTAGTACACCAAGACAATGCGGAGAGCCTGGGATCACGTATGACACCCCATCCTCACGAAGGCAGGGCACTCAGGCTTTGGGGACTCCGCGGAGCACAGGTTCCGGGTGTACCTTCCTTTCTGTCCCCCATAGCAAGCGGGTTAGACCCTCAGATTTCCGCCGTGAAGTGAAGCCAGCCGAAGGGCGGAGCATCCGGAGGGCGGGGCTGTGAGAGGGGCGGGGCTACCCGGCGAGCACGAGGAAAGGAAGGTGGAGTCGAGCGCCGGTCCTAGTGTCGGTCGGAAGCCCTTGCTTCAGCTTCTCCGCGGCCCGGTACCGGCGCGGCGGCGTCCGCGTGGTGAGTCTGCCCACCCTCCTGGGTGCCCCCACCGTCCCCCTCTGGGAGGAGGGGGGTCCGCACTGAGCTCAGTTTAGTATCCTATTGATCCTTCGCGGCGGCGGGGCTCTTGCGCCTTGGTGGAGCCGGGGTGGGAGCGCTGGCCGCAGGGTGCCACGGCGGAGGTGGGGGCAAGCACGGGAAGGCCTAGGGCCGCCCCACTCGCGGTCCCCCCTCAGCGCTCGGTCCTGGTCCACTTCGGAGCAGGCCTTCTGGTGGACCCGGGGATCCCGCGGTCGCGCGCCACTCGGCAGGTACGCTCGGCGCTGGGAAGGCGGGCCCGAGGTCCCGCTGTGCTCCGCTGTGGTCACCCACAAAAATGAACAAGGGACGGCTACAGCCCATAAATGGGCCCCCCAAAAGCCCTGGAACCTCAACCCAAGGAACACAGACCTTGGAAGACTGCAGGGAAGGGCACCTTTCCTACACCCGTGGGCACCACTGTGTACACAGCTCACACTCACACCTAAACTGTGAGGAAGTGGCTGCCACCGCCGCATCTTCAGTACCCGAAACGGTTTGAAAATGTGAATAGACTGGTTGCTGTTGTTTTTAAAAAGTTTGTTGTATGGTTGGCTGAATAAACCTATAGGATTCTAGAAGAAACCCACAGCCTTCAGCCACCAAGTGACTGGGCCCACAAGGATTCACACATTCATTCATTCTTTCGTTCATTCATTCATATGTTCATACGTTCATACATTCATTTATATATTCAACAAATAAATGTGACCCAGGGTCGGGTGAGGGTGGAACTTTCTGGGTGGTGAGAGGCTGGAGTGAAGAGATCAGTAAAGGACTAGGTATTGTTGAGAGAAGTAATCATCTTCTAGGATGGGATTGTCCTTCATCTAATAAGCCTTAGGTGAAGAGAGAAGAGCAGCCTGAAAACCCAGGCCAGGGCTCCCCTACTTTCCCAGGCTACTGCCTGGTGCCATGGCCAGGCCTGCTTGCCCTTCCTGAAAGACTACCTTGAGGCCAGGTGGAGGACAACCTAGCTATGGAAGGGAGCTGGGGGAAAATGCAAGAAGGATGTGGACTTTCCACATTCCATCTCCACCCAGCCAGGAGACTTTGAAGCCCTGCTCCATCTCCTGAGCCTTGGGCTTCCCTTCCCTGGACAAACCCTGGCACCCTGGACAAACCCTGGCGGTCAGCTCTGAATTCCCTCTGGAGAGCCTGATCTGGTGCTAGGGCAAGGTTCCAGAGGCTTTAACAGTTGAGTGGGCTGAACTCTAGGAAGGTTTTATATGGATGTAGGGACAATGGGGGCGGGGCCCGGAATTGTGTGTATTCTGGCCTCTGCTGGCTCTCTTACCTAGAGAGGGAATGGCAGTGGGGTTGGCTTCTCACAGCTGGGTTAACTGGCATCTTACCTACTGGGTATAGGTTCCCGAGGAGCAAGGTGCTGTCTTCTGGCTACTGTGGTATGTGGGGTTGGGTACAGGCTTTGGTGATGGCAGCTGAAGAGAAGCTGACTGGATGTGACATGCCCTAAAGAGATTGAGGTAGCCCCAAGGTAGCCAGGTTACTGGGGCTGTGAAGGATGAGTTGATGGTGTACCTGAAAAGAGGGCTCTTAGAGCAGTTCCTGGGGAGGCTGGGGGAGGGGGGTGATGCTCACAGCTTGAGGTCACCTGGTTCCTCTTATTTGCAAGAAAGAATAGCCTACCCTGGGGCCCAACAGTGTTGGGTGCCTGTGTTCCGGAAGGAAGGCCTGATGACACAGCCTTTTAGACTTTTTGAAGGGCAGTGCATGCTATTCCAGCTGTCCTTTTGCTCTCTAGTGGGAAGTTGAGGGTTGGGGACCCACCTCTAGGCTGTGTTCAAGATCAAATAGCCATCCTCATCAGGGATACAGTGAATCTGATGGATCCAAGGATGTGAGCTGGAAGCCCCTGCTGTGGGTCTGTGGGCACTGGACATTTGTTCTGTGGTTGTATCTCTGGCCACCATTTGTTGGGCTGTGGCTGTGGAGAGCAGCTAGTGTTTCTGTTTCTTTCTGGGTACCCTGCCTGGCTGGCCCTCCTTAAAGCCACTTATATCTTTCTTCATAGTCACAGGCCTGAAGGAGACAGCTAAATTGAAGCTTTGCAGCGATGAGCAGGTACTATACAGGGCCTTCTGTGGCTGATAAGCCCACAGAGAGCTTTGTTTTTCTTCTCAAATTTATTTTTTAAGGCAATCTGTTACCCAGACTTGTCTCAAACTCCTAATCAACAATACCTCCTTGCTGGGCCGGGGTGGGACACCTTTAATCCAAGAACTCAGGAAGCAGAGGCCAGTGGATCTCTGAGTTCCTGGCTGTGCAGAGAAACCCTGTCTCAATAAACAAACAAAAAAGAATACTTCCTGCCTCAGCCTCCTAAGTGCTGGGACTACAGTGTGTACTGTTTATATTAATTAGCTCATTTCGTATTCCAGTAATCAGAGGCTAGATTATTACTCCCTTCTTCAGATAGGTAAACTGGGCAGAGAGGGGCTAATTCATTTACTCAGGGTCTCCAAATCAGATCCAGAACTCGCAGTTTATCTGTACCACCTCATTCTCAGGCCATGCTCCACCTGGGAGGTGGATGCATGGAGTCCAATAGACCTGGGGGTGGGGGGTAAGGAACAGAGAGGATGCCCACGGTGTTGTTTGTTTTTTCAATACTAGGGAAAACCCCAGGCCTAGTGTGTGCTACGTGTGCACTCTGCCACCGAGTCAGACATGCACAACTCCATTCTGTGGAGTCTTCCGTTGAGCAGCTAGAAGGAGACAGGGGAGCTAGTTGTATGAATGGGGAAGCTGGAACTTCAGTGCCGGGAACCTTTATGGTGGGGGTTTCCCTTCAGAACCATCCTGGCAGATGTGCACAGCTTCTCCAGTCCGGTTCTTCTTACTCTCTTACTCTTCTTTGTAAACTCGCTGGTCCAAACAGGGATATTTCTGACAAAAGGGTAGTGGTATCTACCCTGAGCTAAATGAGCTGAAAGGCAACGATTTCTAGAGGTGCTGCCATCTTGAAAATTGAATTTTTGGTTGGCTTTATGGGCATTTGTTCTCACAGACATGCTAGCCTTCAAAAAACAAACAAAACCAACTGAAATTGAACAAACAGAAAACAGGAAAAACATTTTGTGCTCTCTCTCTCTCTCTCTCTCTCTCTCATTGTGTGTGTGTGTGTGTGTGTAGCTGTTGGTATCAAGTGTCTTTCTCAGTCATTCTCTACATTTTCGTGTGTGTGACAGGACTCCTCACTCACCGATTTACTTAGACTGCCTGGCCAGTGGACTCTAGGATACTGCGGCCTCTGCCTCCCCAGCACTCAGATTCTAGGCTCAGACCACTACACCTGCCTTTTGCATGGTGCTCGTGATCCCAGCTCAGACCCTCATGCTTATACAGGCCTGCAGTGTACGGACTGAGCCATTTCCTAGCCCTGGTTTGCTTTAACTTACCATTCTTCCTCAGTAATGCAAACACACTTTAGTAAGTACTTAGGAGCCAGGTGTTTCCCTGTTGGCCCCTGGACTGGCCTAAGAAGAGCAGTGTGCTTTCTGGCATCAGGCCTGGAAGGATGTGGATGGCTAAGCCCTGGCCCAGGACTGGGCTATGTGGAAAAAGGCAGCCAAATGTAGAGAGAGGTTGCCCATCTGTGTGTCATGGGACACAGTACAAATGCTTTTTTTTTTTTTTTTTGCAAAGCTTCCTGCATGGTTTCTCGAGTCTGGAGGGATCTCCTGGCCTATAGTGAGTCTATTCCCACTGCGATGGCCACAACCAGAGCAGGTCTGTACTGCCTTAGGCTAGTGTTGTCTCCTTCAGTGACAAACCTTCTTTGTTTTTGATTGTTTTCTTTTGTTTTATGAGGCAGGGTCTCATGCATCCCAGTCTGGGTTTCAACTCACTATATATAGCTGAGGCTAGCCTCGAACACATGATTCTCCTGCTTCTGGCTCCCCAAGTGCTAGGATTACCAGCTTCAAATCTTTCTTCAGAGGCAGTAAAAGAATAGTGCTGAAGCCTGGGTGTGCGAGATTCCAGCTTGTCTGATCAAGAGCCCTTGGTTACCCGGGCCAACAGTAATGGTCCTGTGTCTCTTGTCTGTATTTGGTTTAGTTTTCATAACTGGTGTATACATACATGTTTCTCCTATAGTGGCACTGTTCCCAATAAGCCTACCATAAGATGAAAAAGATTGCAAGTAGATTGCAACTGATTATTGGATATTAGCCCAGAACCTTGAAATGCCCAAGATGCAACTCACAGGCCACATGAAGCTCATGAAGAAGGAAGACCAAGTGGGGGTGATTCGGTCCTTCTTAGAAGGAGCAACAAAATACTCAAGGGAGCAAATATGGAGACAAAGCGAGGGACAAAAACTGAAGGAGGGGCCGTCTGAAGACCTTTCCACCTGAGTATCCATCCCATGTGCAGTCACCAAAGGTAGATGCTGATGTGGAAGTCAGGAAGTGCATGCTGATAAGAGCCTGATATGGATCTCTCCTCAGAGGTCTTCAAGAGTCTGACATATTCAGAGGCAGATGCTCACAACTAGCCATTGAACTGATCATGGGGTTCTCAATAGAGGAGTTAGAGTGAAGACTGAAGGAGCTGAAAGGATTTGCAGCACCATGAGGAGAACAATAATACCAACCAACCACAGCTCCCAGGGTCTAAACCACCAGCCTGGGAGCACTTAGGGGGGGGATCCAGGGCTTCAGCTGAATATGTAAGAGTGGAGGGCCCTGCTGGGCATAGGTGGAAGAAGAGAACCTTGACCTCATGAAGGCTGGATGCCCCAGGGGGTGGGAATTTTGAGGGTGGGGAGGTGGGAGTGGGGGGGAGTAGATAGAGGTTACATCCACAGAGAAGAAGGAGGAGGGGTGAGGGGATTGGGGGTTCCGGGGTGAGTGGGGGATGGGGTAAGGGGACAACATAGGAAATGTAAATAAAACATCCAATAAAAAAAAAAA